ACCCAGCATGTGTACATGGAAACCTGTTTTGAGCCATCCCCGGCTTGGGGGTCACCAACCTCCCTCACCCCTAAGGGGAGACTTGAGACTTTATACCACGAGTTCCAAGCATCTGGGGCCTCCTCACGGGCTTAAAACAGCAACTGGTGGGGCAGGTGTGAGGGGCAGGCCAGGAAGGGAACGTGGTGATAAGAACTCGCTTAAATTAAGGCCTGACAGCCTCCTCGGCGGGGTTGGCTCCCGGCCCCGGGTCAGTGGGGCTGGCCTGGAGCCGCTGAGGGAGGACGTGCGGAAGGAAGGCCGTGCTGCGCTGCCTCTGTTCCCCTGAGCGCTGTGCCCTCTGGGCAGGCCGGCAGCCCCGGCTGAGGACAGCGGGGACCGGCAGCCAGGGTTCCCCCAGGAGCCTTGAAGCTGAGGGCAATTCCCAGGAGGCAGCCAGTGCCCGGGCCAGGCCCAGGCTGGAAGGAAAGAGTGGGGGCCGTGGCCAGGACCGCCAGCACGTCAGGCCTATTCATAACCCGGCTTGGCTCCCCAGGCGTGTCACAGAGCAGATTCTGTCCGTGAGTCACTCGGGGCCTCTCCGGGGTCTCCCAAGGGGATGAGTGGGGAGGGGGTCCTTTGTCCCCCCTCCTTCCAGTCCCTCTGCCCCGAGATCTGGCCTCCTGCCTAATCACCTGCTTTTCACGTGTCTTTGCAAGCTGGAGAGCCCACACCATAGGGGGCTTGTTCTCCAGGCAGAGACTTGACTGTTTGCACAGGGACGTGTTTCCAGGGTCTCCCCGGGGGCATGTGACTCCATCAGAGCTGGAATGTCCCTTCTTGGGTCTTTGGATGTTGAAGTTTTCTCCCTGAGGTCTCAGCCAGTCACATTGCCTGTCAATGTTTCTTGGCCGGCTCCCGGAATAAAAGCCCCAATCTGTAGCATTTGCCGATTTCTGCAGTGTAAACACCCCCATGGCTGGTTTCAAGCTACTAATGTGACGTCGCCGATTGCAGAGGACGAAGGAGATGTTCACACTGGGCTCTCGCAAGGTGATGAGAGCTGGCCTTGACCCGGTGCGGGGCCAGCCGGGTCCTGTCTCATCAGCTTCCGGGTTGTGCAGCTGCCCCCGCAGGAGGCAAGATCACCTTGAACCGTCTTCCATGACTAAGGCACTGACAGCGGCTATTTACAGGCCACCAAGGCCTTTGGTGGGTGGTAGCTCTGACAGCCGGGGGTGGGGGGCTGTCCTCCAGGAAGGGGCTGGGAGGGGTCCGTGAGGGACACACTCAGAGGGCAGGCCCAGATGGAAGTTGGAAGGGAGAGAGTCGAAGGGAGAAGAAAGAGACTCGGTCCTCCGCTTGTGGCCACCTCCGCTGAGATCTCGGTGCATGCCCGTCCCCTCTTCGTTTCCCGTGTGGAACGTTCTGTGCTTTGCTCATTTGGGATGGTTTCAGCGTGTGCAAGGTCGCCTTCCACCTTCTTCAGTATACAAGCCAGCGAGAGCCAGTGTGACCTGCAGTGTCACACTTCCAGTGTGACTGCAACTGCTTCCCTAACAAGCCTGGTACTCTGCAGCCGGGATGGGAAATGGTGTAGCCATCTTGGAGAACAGTGTGGAAGTTTCTAAGAATCATACATAAAGTTACCATGCGACCCAGCAACGCCACTCCCAGGAACCTACATAAGAGAAGTGGAAAGATGGTCACACAAAGGTTTCCATGGCAGCGTCACGCGTAATGGTGCCACGGTGGAAACAACACAGATGTCCACCACCTCGTGAATGGATAAGCAAGATGCAGTCCATCCACGCAAAGGGACACCATTTAACAGCAGAAAGGAATGCAGCGCAGATACACACAGCAACGTGCATGAGCCTCAAAAACGCCATGCGAAGTGACAAAAGCCAGACGTGAAAGACCACACGCTCTAGGATTCCATCTGTATCAAGTGTCCAGAAAAGGCATTCGATAGAGATCGAGAGTAGATTAGTGGTTGCCTGGGGTTAGAAAACAGAATTCAACCGAGTAAATTTGAAGATCTAATTGCTTTATTAAACAACTCACGAGTCGGATAGCATCCTGTGGAGCAAGCAGGAGGGTGCTCAGAGAGGCTGTACGAAACGGAAGGTTTTTATAGGAAGAAGGGCGGACCAGGAGCTATTAGCCAAGGAGGAGAAAGGGTTATTTTTAGGCCAGGACTTCTCCTCTGGGGAAAGCTACGGGAGGGGTCTTTATCAGCAGATTCGCTGCTTCTTCTGGGAGGGGGATGGGGAGGGCCCACATGACAGATGACCTTACTGATGCTTGACCAGAACATTCTAGAGTGACGGGTCCATGAAGACTGCATTTCTGGGAGAGGTTGAAACTGCATGAGATCAGGTCTTAAATCCAGGTTTGATATCACGGGCTCCAGCACCAGCGACTCCATTTTGGGCCTCTGGTTTTCTTTTTCACCGTGGGAACAGCTGGTCACTGCTCACAGGCATGAAGGGTCTTTTTGGGGGTGATGAGATGGTGGAGATGGTTGCAAACTCTGTAAATATGTTTTCAAAACTGTAGATTTATCAAAAATCATCAAATTGTATGCCTTACAATGGCTGAATCTTATGGCTGGCGTAGAAATTATACCTCAATAAAGCTGTTTTAAAATGTTTCCTAAGTACTCTTTTCAATGGGTTTATATTATTCCTTCAAGTTAGATGTGCTGTAATCTATTTGATATTTTCTAGTTATTGGACACTTGGGTCTGTGGTTGTGTGTGTGTGTGTGTGTGCTACAAGCAACACAGTGATGACATTTTCTGCCTTAGGATTACTTCCTCAAACTTATTTTCCAGAAGAAGGCTTTCTAGGCCAGCTGGGAGAAAATATTCACAAATCGTATGTTCAATAAGGGGTTAATTTCCAAAATATATAAAGAGCGCTTACAACTCAACAGTAAAAAAAAATGAACAACCTGATCAAAAAATGGGCAGAGGATATGAACAGACATTTTTGCAAAGAAGATATATAGATGGCCAACAGGCCCATGAAAAGGTGTTCAGCATCACCCATCATTAGGGAAATGCAAATCGAAACTACCATGAGATATTAGCTCACACCCGTCAGAATGGCTATTCTTAAAAAAAGAAGAAAGAACAAGTGTTGCAAAGGATGTGGAGAAAAGGGAACCCTCATACACTGCTGGTGGGAATGCAAACTGGTGCAGCCACTGTGAAAAACAGAATGGAGATTTCTCAATAAACTAAAAATGGAAATATATGACCCAGCTATTCTACTACTGGGTATTTATCCAAAGAACATGAAAACACGAATTCGAAAAGATACCTGCACCCCCATGTTCACTGCAGCATATTCACAATAGCCAAGACGTGGAAGCAACCTAGGTACCCATCAGAGGATGAAAGGATAAAGAAGACGTGGTATTTATACACAATGGAATACTACTCAGCCATAGGAAATGATGAAATCCAGCCATTTGTGACAACATGGATGGACCTTGAGGGTATTACGCCGAGCGAAATAAGTCAGAGGGAGAAAGTCAAATTCTGTATGATCTCACCCATATGTGGAAGATAAACAAACAAGCAAACACATAGATAAGGAGAACAGATTAGTGGTTACCAGAGGGGAGGGGGATGGGGGGAGGGCAAAAGGGGTGAAGGGGCACGTGTGTGTGGTGACAGATGGACACCAGACTTTTGGTGGTGAACACAATGCAGTCTATGCAGAAGCCGAAATAGAATGATGCACACCTGAAATTTACACAATGTTATAAACCAATGTGACCTCAAGTAAAAAAAAAAGTTATGAACATTTGTTAAGGTTTTCAATATGATGCTAAATACGCTAAATTGCTTCCCGGGAGGGCTGGGCCGATCGATAGCTTTGGTTTCCTGCCCTTTCCTAATTTGCGTGGCCAACCTGTGGAGCCCACCGCTCCTTCACAAAAGAAACACACTGTTCTGTATTAGAAGTCGGGATGCTGGTGGCCCTGCTGGAAGAGTAACTAGAAGGGGGCATGGGGGAGGGTCAGGTGGGCTGCTCACCTCCTGTTTATTTTTTGGATTGAGATATGATTTAATACAGTAAACTTTTCAACCTTAACTGAAGAGCCGGATGAAGTTTTATGATGATATACTGGCACAGCCATCACCCACGTCAAGATACAGGACATTTCCATCATCCCAGGGCGTTCCTCGTGCCCCCTCCCGCCTCCCCCAGAGCTAACAGCCCCTCCGGCCTCCGTCACCATCCGTTAGAGCTGTCGTTCTTGAGCTTCTTATAAATAAGATATTTTTATTTAAACAACTTAATTTTTAATAATTTTAATTAAATTATTTTATTTATTTATTTTTTTAAAGATTGGCACCTGGGCTAACAACTGTTGCCAATCTTTTTTTTTTTTCTGCTTTATCTCCCCAAACCCCCCCATACATAGTTGTATATCTTAGCTGCAGGTCCTTCTAGTTGTGGGATGTGTGACGCAGCCTCAACGTGGCCTGACAAGCGGTGCCATGTCCGCTCCCAGGATCTGAACCCTGGGCCGCTGCAGCGGAGCACGCGAACTTAACCACTCGGCCATGGAGCCGGCCCCTAAATTATTTTAATGTAATTGAAATTATTTTTATTTTAATTAATATGATTTTAAATTTAACTTAATATATTGAAGAATAAAATCACATTTTTTATTTGAAAAATTTACGATAATATTTTTAATTTGATTGAGGTGCTGGTAGGATAGTTACGTTCTTTATGGGAGAGCCACTGATTATATACTTATCTGCTTGTGTGTTCTCTCTCAATAAAAAGTCGAAGTGTGGGGTCAAGGGGGAAGGGTTTCAGGGCGCTGTCCCCTCCATGGGCGGCGGCCTCCATGCTGACCGTCCTCCTCCCGGGTGTAAACGGCGGTGCGCGGGGCCGACAGTGTGGTCTTGGGTGATGGCGTTGGAGGGGAGCGGGCAATGCCCCGAGCTAACCTGTCTCTCTCTTCTCTCCCCCGCGCGTCTCCTGCGGCAGGCTGTGTCCATCCATCTCATGTGCTGCGTGTTCCCGTAGAGCCTTGTTCCGTGCCGTCCGGCAGAGAGCTCCGTCTCGTCGCCTGTCAGGCCCTGCCCTGCCTCAGCATGGCCATCTCATCGCGCCTCGCCCTGTGGGAGCAGAAGGAAAGTGGCGCTCAGGGGGCGGCTCCACCCTCGGGGGACAAGCCACAGTGCAGGTGGCCCAGGCTGCCCCTCCCACCTCCGGCAGTGCCTCCCCCGGGGCATGTCCGGTCCCCTCTTCCATCCTCTCCCAGCCAGCTCGGTTAGCCTCGGCCTCTCCAGCCCAGCTGGGCACGGGTGACCGTGCCTGGGACCCCTCCCATGACAGCCTGGTCTTTCCCTGCCCCTCAGTGGGCGGCGGGGGAGCGAGGATTGACCAGCAGTCCCGTCTCCATCCTTGTGGCAGCTCTGATGAGCACCGGGGTTCTTGTGGGAAGAGGGGTCGGGGGGCACAGGGGTGGGAGCAGAGGCAGAGCTGTTGGCTGCCAGGCTTCTGCGACGGCGAGGGGTGTCCGTGGTCCCTGCCTTCTGTCACCATGGAGAACGGGAAACGGACTCTTCTCCCCAGTTAACCCTCTTTTCCTTTTTGTACTCCTCGCAAGATACCATGAAGGGCTACCTCTTTCTTTGATGTGTTTTCTCCGCCCCTCATCCCACCCTTGGGATTTGAAGAGATGGAGGCTGAAGGGTTGGGGGGGAGCACGAAGCTTCTCTCCCTCCTGACTGCCTCCGCCACTCCCGGACAGACGTGGGGGTAGCATTGAGAATGATGCTGGAAGGAGCAGAGGTTGACCCCGCTGAGCGAGCCCTCAGTCTCCCTGTCTCTTATGACCCGTGGCTTCCAGTCCACTTGGAGAAGGGGACGCATGGTGTAGACGTGAGCCCAGCCTCGCATGTCCCCTGCCTCTCCCCGCCTCTGCTCTGTCTCCCGGCTTTCCTATCTCCTCTGGATTCCCCGGTTATCAAAGATGAAGTCTTTGCCAGCCACTCGCGGAGGACCTTGATAAGGAGCCTATTTTAAACCAGTGTGTAGCTCTGCCATAGAAAGTGCTGGAGATTTTTTTTTTTGAAGTCATGAGCAGTCCCAGTGACGCTGGTTAAAGACACACCCAAGTGGGCCACAGCCAGTCCAGGTCTCAGCCCCCGAGGTCGCTGTGGCCCACGATGGAGTCTGAGTTGCAACCCACGTCTAGCCCAGCTCTGGCCTGGACCACGTTTTTGGGGTAAAATGCCTGTGTCCAGCCTGCCGGCTGTATGTCCCAGTGTTGGGGAGCCCCTCTGGCTGCCCAGGTCCTGGTTTTAGGACCATCGGGAAGCCCCAGCACGGGGTCAGTGCAGTGGGCTGTAGCTAGAGGGTTGGATCCTTGTATAAACCGTGGCTCTTGCCCCTCCCTCCTTTACCATGTTCCTGGCGCACAGTGAGCGATTAACTAATGGATCAATCTATTATATTAATTGCAAGCTGAGATGGGGCAGGAGAATGATGACCCAGTGGATCCCTGTGGCCCATTCTCGCCTGGAAACTGGAAAATCTGTTTTGGGACCAAGTCCTCCTGGGGATGCGTCTGTCCCACGCGAGGAAGGGACCAGCAGCCTCATGGTCCAAATATACCTTAAGAGGAAACTCGGTCCAGGCAGAAATCTTATTGACTGGAGTAACCTCTGCAGCTTTCACGGACCATCTTGGGTCCCCCCCAGAGCCTCGCCAGGCCTCGTCTGCCTTGCCGTGGCCTCCTACCTGGGCTTGGTCATGGATGTCCTCCTCGGTCCCCTCCCAGGCTCCATCGCAAACTTTTTCAAGGGCAACTTGCCCCCACTGGTTCACTCACTGAGCTTTCTCCTTCCTTATTTCTGCAAAACAGATCCGGGAAGAGGACAAGAGCCCTCCACCGTCCTCGCCCCCTCCCCTTTTCTCTGTCATCCCAGGGGGCTTCATTAGGCAACTGGTCCGAGAGACTGAGAAAGAGTCCAAAGAAGCGAGACGGAGGAAGGAGGCAGAGCTCGCCTCTCCGGAACGAGAGGTAAGTGACCCCACAGGAAGGGGACCCGGTGCCTGTCAATACCCACCGTCCTGTCCTGTGAGCCTCCGCTCAGTCCTTCTCTATCCCACCTTTGCTCCTGCTGTCCCACTTTGTGGAATGTCTTTTCTTCAGCTTGATCTATTGAACTCCTATGCATCCTTCAAAACCCAGCTCAAATCAAATCGTACCTCTCTGGAAAGCTGTTCCATTGCCTTCCTTCCTCTGATTCCCACTGACCCCTCTGTGCCTGCATTAATTGCAGTCAGCATGGTAATTACTTGATCATATGACTTGTTTGACTAGGAGTCCCTTCAGAGCAACAACTCTCTCTCTCTCGTTCAACTCTGCATCTTAAGCAGATGTTGTAGTACTTAGTTCATAGCGAGGGCTCAACAAGTGTGTGTTGAATGAATGATATCAGTTGATGTATGATGGTGGGATCATCCTACCCCTACTTCTGCAGAAAGGGAAACCCAGAGAGTAGCTAAGGATGTGTCATTGGCTCGCTTTAAGCAGAAAAGATACTCAGTTGGTCCTCAGTGGTTATGGCTGCATTGGTTATTAAACTATCGGAACCCTTCCATTTCAGGAGGTAAACGGCTGAGGCCCCAGCCCCCCCAAGTGCCCTCCAGTGGCCGTGCTCACCGAGGTCCCTCCCCCAAAACCCCCAAAATGGCCACAAGCCAGTAATTAAAGGGTTATTGCTTAGCGCAGGTAGGGACCTCCGTACCTGCTCCAGCTCGCGTCCCTTCTGATTGGTTGATGTCCACTAAAACCCCTCAATTATTCTGAACAGGACAGCTGGAATCAAGCAATAGTTGGTCAAGATGCAGCCCCTGTCTTTAAGAACTTGCAAATTTGTCCCTGATGGTGGCCAACCCCTCCTTTTCCCCAGCTCCTCAGCCAGGGAGCCCGGACAGGATGACGAGGCTGGACACCAGGGAGGCAGGCTTAGGGTGCAGTGCACCCTGAGGGATGTCCTTTTTTCATCCTCATCTGTTAAACTCTTATGCAGCCTTCAAAACCCAGCTCAAATAGTGCATCTCTGGAAATAGTGCCTCTGTGTTAGGCAGAACGGGCATCTCCTTGTGTCTCTCCAGCACCCCCTTGAGGTGGGGCAAATGCCGCAATGATTGGGCTGAGACATCTGGTGGCTGTGGGATCTAGAGTTGTCATGAGCCCAGGGGCCACCCTCACTCCACCTCCCCCTCCGCTTCAGCTGTTTGCCCGGCCGGCCCTCCATGTGCCTGCATCTGTCCAATTACGACTTGGCTGCATCAGAGAAGTCCTCCGGCAGCTGAATAGCAGCAGCTGCTGGAGCCCCTGCCAAGTCTTTGTGGGGGAAGAAGACAGGAAGGACAGGCGCTGTCCCCACCCCTGCCTGACCCAGATGTAGGCAGGGGCCAAAGTCGCCCCCTGTAGGCTGGTGTTAGGTCATGATGAAATATTGCTGTGTGCCGTTTGTCACTAGACGATGCTCTCTGTGCTCTCATGGGTGTATTTGTGCGGTAGTGGGGGAGATGGAATTACACCCACTTCTCAGAGGGGGAGACCGAGGCTCTGAGAGGTCAAGCGACTTGCCCCAGCTCCGGAGGCCAGCCAGAGGCAGAGCCAGGGCGAGAGTCTGGGCATTCTCTGCTCTCGCCAGCTGCCTGCGGAAGGGGCAGGTCTGGGGAGTGAGGCGGCCAGCGTGGTGGCCCCAGGGGCCTGGGGAGGAGAGGGCTCCCTGAGGCTGCAGGCCGTGCTGGCGTTGCTGTCCGTAAGTTAAGAAGCAGAGCCGAGCAGAGGACAGGGACAGGCTGTCATCGCTGGGCCTGGACAGAGACTCAGAGCCAAGATGCGGGATGGACGGGCCCCAGACCACGACAGGTGTCTGGACCACGGGCCAAGACGTTCCTGGGCCCGGAGCAGGGCAGCCTGGGGACATGTTCCTGTGAGGCGGCAAGCCCTGGCTGGCTCCTGCCAGTTGAATTTTCTTGTCCCCATCAGTCAATAACTCCAGACACTCTCTCCTCATCCCAGTGCAGCCGCGTCATTTGACCCTCATATAATCCTCGCCGGGAGCCATCAGGATCCATCCCCATTTTGTAGGAACAGAAAACAAGGCCCAGGGACGTGACTTGGTTTTCACAAGGCCACCCAGCTGGTGAGGGACAGGGAGAGGCTGGAATAGCACTGAGGTAGAAAGGGACCCATATCGAATGTCGGGAGAACTCGGTTCCAGCTCTGGCCCCCTCACTCTGTGTGGTTCAGGCCAAATCCTTTCCCTGCTCTTGGCCTCAGTTTGCTCGTCTGTGAAATGGATGTGCTGTGAGTTTCCGCTCGGCTCCTCCGGTACCCTAAGAAGGCCGCACGGGGGACACAGGGCTTTGGGGACTAGAAACACAAAGGAGGAGAGTTCACGGGGTCGGGGGAGGAGGCTGGGATTGTTGTCCTGTCTGGCCCATCCCCACGTTACCGTCTCCTCCGTGGTGGTTGGTTAAAAATAAGGCGCTGACTCACTTTCAAAATGGTGTACACAGGGGTGAGATGTGCCAGGCGTGGCCGATCTCCGTTCCGGGGCTGTGTCCTCTCTGGCCCCCGGAGGTCAGACTTTGCCACCAGGCTCGGGGCCCCAGGGCGGGGGTTCTCGGTCCTGTTTGCATGTCGGAATCACAGAGGAGTCACCACCCAGACCAATCACACCAGACTCCGGGAGTGGGGCCCATGCACGAGTATCCTTTAAAGGTCCCGGGAGACTCCAGTGAGCCCCAGGGAGACAAGAAGGACATTAATGTGAGCAGTTCAGGGCACTGGCTTTTGGCTCAGAGAGGCCTGCGTGACGTCACCTTCTGGCTTTGTGTCTCGGGCCATACTGTTTTTGTGTTGGCTTCCTTATATGTCGGACTGGGGGAAGTTCCAACCCCACCACGGTGGGTTCTCACATGGGTGAAGCAGGATGTGGCCCGATGGTGATGAAGGGCCCATTGCAAACGACCTATAAATTATGGCTGTTATTATCATCATCGTCATTGTCACGAAGATGAAGACAAGGGCTGTGCTCTTGAGGCCTCCACCACCTAAAACAGAAGAGGGACCCAAATCAAGGCCAGAAGCAGAACGTGGCCATTGCTGCAGACGGCGTGCCGGCCCAGTGCCCCAGGGTGTCGGGGGCATAGGGGACAATTTCGGATCGAGGTCCTTAGGCGAAGCTTTGCAAGGAGGCGACATTTGAGCTGGGTATAGAAAGCTGAGACGAGCACGGATGCGGGAAGCGGGCAGGGCTCTCCAGGCAGCAAGCTCAGCATGAATGGGAGCATGGAAGCAGGGAGGCGTCAGACGTGGTGGGAGATGCCCCATGTGGCTGAGGCATCGAGATAAATGGGGACAGTGAGACCAAGGTGGGTGGGGGGCTCCTCGCTGAGCACTTTGAGTGGCAGCTGGTGGTGTTGAACAGTTTTCCCGTAGCCTGTGGGCAGTGGCCCAAGTCTTTTGATCAGGTTTAAAGTGATGGGCAGCGAGTGGAAGGGACGCCAGCGCAGAGCGTGTGACCGTGGCCCGGGTGAGCGAGAGTGGACCTGGATTTGAGAAAGGAGACAGACATGAGGCTTTGCAGAGTGGAATCGAGATGATCCTGGGGCCGGTTTAGATGCAAGAGGACGATGTGAAGTGCAGATTCCCAGGCCTGGGGGTGGGGGATGCTGGCCTTAGTGTGGTCCAAGATGGCAGAACCCAGACGAGGGCAGGTGGTGAGGTCAGGGCGGAGCAGAACCGCCCACCGGGTCGCTTTCCGCAGAGGCAGAGGGAAGGCTGGCCCTGAGAACAAGGCAGGCCACAGCCTGACTGGAGGATGGAGGGCTGGACGGGGCTGACATCACAAGGTGGTAAAAGGGCCTGGGAGAGGAGCGGGCGGTGGAGACCGGGGGCCGGATGTAGCCCCGATGTCTGGGTCAGGCAGGAGTGGAGGGGCTCGGGGCGGGAGCCAGGGCCCTTGCCTGGTACGGGGGCATGGGTATGGGTGCCTGGATGCCAGAAGTGGCAGCGGTTCAGTTTGTTCCATGCTCAGCAATTTCCAAAGTGCTTTTCACGTCACGTCTTACAAAAAATCCAGATGGTCGAGCGGCACGGTTGGAAAACTGAAGTCAGAGAGGACAGGTGGTCCATGTCCCCCAGCTGGAAGGTGTCTAGAACAGGTCCTCTGATGACAGGCCCCAGGGCCTCTCCCTGATGATCCCTTTCTAGCCGAGCAGGAAAAATGAAAGCATAAATAATAATAATAAAAATAATAACAGCCACAATGGCAACAATAACAATGACAGCAGCAGCTACTGTTACTGAGGACTGACTGTGTGCTGGGCACAGTTTCTGTGTGTTATCCTGAATCCTCACACCCGCCCTGCATGGCAGGCCATTATGATCCTCATTTCCGGATCAGGAAACTGGCTCAAACAGAGAGCGGAAGTAACTTACCTAAGGCCACACAGCCAATGAGTGGCAGAGTTTGGAGTTGAATTTGGGCCTGTTGGGCTCCAAAGTCCACTCTCCTTCCACTCTGTCACTTGGCCTTGAGGTGCCAGGCCAAGGCCCAGGGGGTTGGGGTTCGACTGATTGCCTGGCACAGTGCCTGTCAGATCCCATAGGTGCTCGAGGGTCTTTGGATGGATCAGTGGCTGGGTGAACAAGTGAGTGAGTGAATGAGTGAATGACAAAGCTGTCAGATCTGCAGGCAACTGAGTACGATGGTGGTCTCTCTCCTAGACCCCAGACATTTCCACCAGCCAACCCAACAGCAAATCCAACAGTGGCGCCAAATCTGGAAGCCAACAGATTCCCCAGGACAGCCAGCCGAGCTCTGCCCAGGACTCAAGCATTCTGGGCAAGGAGCGCGAGGGGGCCGGCCCCGCGGACCCCATGCTGATGACCAGCATCAACGGCGAGAAACCCCAGGAGTCAGGCCCCGGCGGGACACCGGCCAAAAAACCTGTGCCCTTCAGGAGAGGAATAAGAAGAGGCGACGTGTTGCTCATGGTGGCCAAGCTGGACCTGGACGCCGCCAAGCCGGAGCAGAGGGCCCAGCCCCGTGATGGCCCCACCTGCAAGTCCCCACCGCCAGCCACAGACCCTGGAGGGGAGAAGAAAGGGGAGACCCCAGGGCCTCCTCGTGGCCCCCAGGCCAGCACTGAGGATGCAGCCCCGAAAGCTGAGAAGACTCAGACTGGGGGTCTTGGGGACCCAGGCCAGAAGGCACAAGGCACAGGGGAGAAAGGGGGCGGGGCCCCCCAGACCAAAGGGCCGAAAGGGGGTGAGGGCAACGAGGGGCCAGGTGAAGGGGGGCAACCACGGACGGCGGAGAAGGGGGCAGGGGACCCCCCAACCGAGATGGCAAAGGGAAAACTCTCCAAGGATGCCGGCGGGGAGGGGAGGTGGGCTGGGGCCCAAATCCAGATGAGAAGGTGGGGAGGTTCCCTGGGCAGAAGGAGTAAGTGGTACGGTCCCCAGAGTAAGAAGGACAGAGAGGGTGACCTCCTAAGTAAGGCAGAGAAGACAGATGGACCTCAGATCAAGACGGAGACGGGCAACGCACAGGGGGAAGGTTGGCAAGGTGGGGGAAGCTCTCAGACTGACCGAGAAGGCAGGGGAGCCTCTGGGTGAGATGGGGAAGGTGGGGCAGGCTCAGGGTGAGGCTGGGGAGGCAGAGAGGGCTGGGAGCAAGACTGAGAAGGGCTGGGAAGCCCCCAAGGAGGCGGACGCACGGGGGGAGACCCCAGCGTTCAGCTAGGAACGCGGGCCGGCCAGACAGGAAAGGGCAGAAGGCAGAGGAACCCTGTGCCAGAGTGGACGTTGGGGCCAAAGCTTTGGAGACGCTGCTGGCAGGACCCAGACCCCCCGCTCTGGAGAGCCAGGCAGAGAGGACTCAGACACACAAGGAGAACCAAGAGGGGCCGGCCCTGCAGGAGGGGGGCAATGGAGGCCAGAGTGGAGCCTCTGACCAGGACCAGGTGAGCAGCTGCGGCCCGGGAGAGGGGAGGGGCAGCGGGACCCTGCAGAGAAGGAGGGATGGGAAGGACCTGCCCCTGAGGGTGGACAAGGTAGGGACAGGGAATTGGAGAGGGCTGGCCAGCCCAGAGGAGGGAACAAGCAGGGATCTCGAGGCCCCCACTGCCACCTGTCCCGGGGGTGAGATTCCTCATAGAGTGAAGGAGTCCCCAAGAATGCGAGGTGTCCCCTCCTGGCCGAGCTTGCTCACAATGTCACATGAGAGACTGCTCAAGATGCAGCCTTCTGGGCCCGCCTTGGGGCCTGTCATTCAAAAGGCCAGGGATGGGGTCACGGCATCTGCATTTGAATGAGCCCCCCACTTCCCCTAGGCTACATTGGGAGGAGCTCCCAAGCAAGGGGTGCACCCTCACATGGGGGTGGGGGTGGGGGGCAGCGTCATCCTGGTTTAATTCTGTGGTCTGTGTCCTCAGGCTCCAGAAGACAGATGGTACGAGGCCGAGAAAGTCTGGCTGGTCCAGAAGGATGGATTCACCCTCGGTAATTAGGGGTGTTAGCACATCTGCGGGAGGGGGTCTAAGTCTTTTCCTCTTGCGCCTCCTACTGCTGCTAGCCACATTTGCCAGGTCCTGATCATGGTTTGGGGAGAAAGGAGGAGAAGGAGCGGCTGAGAACAGCATGGGGATACATGGTTTTGGGGGTGGGAAGAGCTGAGCATCATCTCACCCTCGGCAGTGGTCCACAGGGTGCTGTTTCAAAGGTGTTTGAGCTTTGGTGATTAACTGTTAACTAATTCACTGGTGCAGCAATGTTGTTTGGTTCCTACAGCCTTCCGCCAGGAATTCGGAGTCTAGTGCAAGTGGGCAAATAGATTTCATCTCATGAACCCCCTCTTGTGGATTAGTTGTGACCACACTCCACTGAGAAGCGATTCTGAGTCCCTCTCAGAACACGGCCGGGAAAAGTGATTGATTAGTGATGCCTGTCGTGACACTGCGAGGGAGAGGGCAGCCTGCATACCTTTATCTGCCATCCCAGGTCTAGGTACATGATTGGTACCATGCATCCAGCCACCTGGGTGCCTACTCTGTGCCTGACACTGTGCCAGCTGATAAAAGTCCAGGGTGAGGCGGACCTATTCTCTGTCCTCAAAACATTTGGGGTCACAATTCAGAACCCTCCAAGTGAATAGGCTGCAGCCCTGGGAGTGGGGAGGGGCTGGCGGGACCCTCCAGAGAAGGGTCTTGTCCCAGGACCCCTCTCCAGCTCCCTGGTCTGGCTCAGCAGCTCAGAGCCTGTCTCTCCTCCCCTCCCCTCCCCTCCTCTTCCCTTCTCATCTCTCTTTTTTTGGCCTGTCCACCAGCAACGGTGCTGAAGCCAGACGAGGGAACAGCCGACCTGCCAGCAGGAAGGGTGCGCCTTTGCATTGATGCTGACAAAAGCATCACCGAGGTGGATGAGGAGCATGTTCATCGGGTGAGCCCCCTCCCCTGGCTGCTCCACACCTTCCTTCCTCACCCCTGCAAGAGGTCTCCTGGTCCCTGACTGTGGACACTTCTTTGGCTTGATGCTCTGGAGGGAGTGATAGGGAAGATCACTATCGCACTCATTGCCCTGCTGGAACTATATTGTTAGGGGGTCACTACTCTGTCCCACAGCGTCCCCTTTATGAGGGTGCCTGAAGACATAGTTTTGCCAGGTCTTGGGCCTGGGAGTTCTTCTGCTTGACCCGAGAAAGTGATTGCTTTTCATTTTCTGGACGTCGCAACTCACGTTACAGAGCCTGTTTCCTTTTTCACCCTGGCTGCTGGGGAACTCAGAGCCAAATTTTCTGCTTGCCATTACCCATAGCATAGGTTCCAATGGCCTAGGTTTTGGGTATCAACCTTTATTTTGGTTTTGCTTTTTCAGTTGTTTTGTATAAATTTTACAGTGCACCATAAACCTATTTGAGGATAAGTTGAAGTAGGACAGAAAAAAAATTGGTGTCCTGATCCTTTTCCACCCCTCACAGCCCACTAATTGAGAAGGAGTTTCCTCCAGGAGCTCCGTGTGGGCCTCGTTCATCTTCATCCCTCTCCGCTCCTCCTGTGCCCACCCCAGGCCCTTAGAAGAAAGGCTGATCCCTAAGGGAGCCCAGGCTTGACCCAAACCCCAGAGCAATAGGCCCAGAGACCTTCTAGAAGTGGAAAGAATGGCGGGAAGGCTTTTAGAATGGATGCCCCAAGCGGAAGCTGCAGGAACCCCTTACTTCTGGAAGAGTTGGGCACATCTCCAAGGGATCGATGCCTGATGGGCCAGCAGAGAAACGGGGCTGTTTGGCCATTGGCCTCCATCTCTGAGTGTCACAGAGAGATGCAGGGTGCCCCCACAAGACCCCGAAGAGGGAGAAATGGCAGTGGGCCCTGCCTTGCTCTGGAACACCCCCTTCTTTCTGTGTGTTTGAGACACAGAAGGCGCTCTGCATCTCGCTGTGTCTGTCTTAGGCGCATCTCCCCTCAGGGGCCAAGGAGTGTGGGAAGGAAGGACCCATGTGAAGAGAGGGGTGGCTCTCAGGCTGTACCAAGGGCAAAGTAGAAGGGATGTCCTATTTCATTTGTAGGGTATCCTCTCTCTCTGTCCTGGTCTTTGGCACCCCTCTCCTGGGACGGCCTCACCAGGGCTGTGTGCGAGTGCAAGGGGGGTGGTGTGGGGGCCCAGGAGGCCAGAGGACACTCTGTGTGCTGGTTCACAGGCCAACCCCCCCGAGCTGGACCAGGCCGACGACCTGGCCTCCCTGGTCAGTGTCAACGAGTCGAGTGTCCTGAACACGCTTCGGCACCGCTACGAAGCTGGGCTGCTGCACACCTGGACCGGGCCGGACCTGATCGTCCTGCAGCCGCGGGGGTCCCCGGCGCCCTTCTGCAGGCAAGGTGAGCGGGGACCGTGGGGGCAGGGTGGTGAGGACAGGTGCAGGAGGGGTGGGCTCGGGGTGGTCCCTCTGCATCTCAGGGAGAGCAGAGCGCCCTGCGAGCCTGTCTGTGAACAGCATCCTGCCAGACATGAGATTCGGGCACATCGCAGGCCGTCAAGGACCCTGTGATCCTCCCGCCTTGGAGAGGAAAGATAGTAACTGATAGAAACAACAGAGGAGCGTTAAAGACGGCGATAAGAAGAGGAATAGTGAATGAGTGCCACCCGGGTACCAGGCGCTGCTTCAGGACTTTCGCGTAGTATCTCAATTAATTCTCACGCCCACTGAAAAGACGGGCGCCGTCACTAGCCCCATTTGACAGACGTGACCTGGCCGGGCCAGCGGCTAAACGCTCATCTTCAGCAAGCAGAGGAGGCGGAATCAAGGCCAGGCCACCAGCTCCTCTGCGCTCTGAACCCCAGGCTGGGCTCTTGGGGGTCCCGGAGGCCCATAGATGTTGGCATGGAAACAGCAGCCTCGGCTCTGCTTTGGTTTGCTTTGTTCCTGCGAAGTGTGGAAATAGGCAGCTTTGGTGAGGACGGTCAAAGCAAAGCCGATCTCTCTGTGCCCCCTTGAGGAACGGGCTGCAGCCGCAGCTCGGCGATTTGAGCGGGATCCCCTTCATTCATTCACTGCTGTTGATGGACACATGGACTGGGGGTTCTCCTACAAGCCAGCCACTGGCTGGGGAGGAGCAGGGGAGAAGGCGGGCTCAGAAGGCTGCACTCGGGAGCTTCCATTCGAGTGGGGAAGACGGTCCCCCAACAATAAGATAACAGTGGGCGGAGCGGACGAGGGTGGAGGAGGCGACAGTGAGGAGCCCGGAGAAGCGGGACCCTGTCTTAGACGTGGTCTTAATGATCTGGCTTTTACTCTGAGCTTGACGGCAGCTGCTGGAGACTTGGCAGAGCGGCTAGGTGGTCTGACTTACATTGTAAGGACCTTGGCTCCGGGTGGAGGACAGATGGCAGGGGCAGAGGTGGAGGCGGGAGACCCGAGGCAGATCGGACGTCTTGTCTGCGTGCGGTCCTGAGGATTGTCGGTGGGAAGATGCAGCCCCCAGGACACCCGCTGATGCACCGCGGGGGCCTTGCAAGATCACGGTGCCTCGCTGGCCTCGGTGTTTCGTCTGTCAATGTGGGTGAAAAGCCACATCTTGCCTTCTGGAGTCCCATGGGACAAATATGGTCCTAGCCCCCCAGTGATGCTGAGTCCAGCGGCCCTGCACCCTTCTCCCCGAGACTTCTCTTCTCCGGATACCCCGCCCCACCTCCTAAGTCATCCTTCAGGCCCCTCCCCAGCCTGCTGGCCATGGCCAGGGGCCTGGAGGACGACAGCTGGGCACGTGCATTTTCCCCTCCCTTGCTGTGACGGCTGTGCTCCTGTTACTGCAGCCCAGGGCCTCTGAGCCTTCCAAGAAGCACAGCGAGTCCTCTGGCTCCTTGGGAGCCCCTGGGAGGGACATTTTGTGCAGGCCTCCGGGCAAGCCAGATTCTCCCCGCCTCTCCCCGATCGCGGCATCCATTGCAGAACGGGGCCAAAGAGCCTAGGAGGACAGCCGCGGGAGCACGGCCTGGAAGGAGGAGCTGGAGTCTCAGGGTCACCTAAGCCCCTAGCCCAGGGCCCCCGTTCCGTTCCCTCAGGCCCTCCAGCCTCCCACACCCCAACCCACAGCTGCCTCCTATTCTTTGGCTGAGTCGCATCTGCTTCCTCAAATGGCCACCAGGTGGGAGCACAGACCCGCGGTGAGGCTGCCACTGGGGCCACCTGGAAGTCGACCGGGGTGGGGGGTCCGGGGCAGGGCTGGGGGCCTCTCTCACTGGGAGTCTGGGCCCACCTGGCGGCTGGGAGCTGGGTGGGTGCCTGGAGGGGGGTGCAAGTGGGCAGGATCGTGTGGGGTGTAGATGGGCCCCCTCTGTGTGCAGGGGCCTCTGCCACTGTCGGGTGCGTGTGCCTGTGAGCACACCTGCGTGCAAGCATGCAAGGGCACGTGTGCACCAGTACATGTGTGTGTGCATGCACCCGTGTGTGTACACAGGGGCCTGGAGCTGCAGAATTGTCTCTTCCTCTGATGGGGGCCGATGGATGGGATAACCTGTCCCCTGGACTTCAGAGTTTCCAGGGTGGGAGGCGGCTTCAGACCCCAGGACCCTCTGCCCGTCTCATGCCCTAAGGCTGTGTCCAGCCGGCATGGGGCTTGTCCCACCTTTGGGGTCCCTCTGAGGCCTGTGTTTTGCATCAGGATAGGGACTCTTTACTGGGCGTCTTGGAGCAGGAAAGGCCAAGGTGGATTGGGGGCACCCCTTGGCCCCAGGCTGGGGGTCCAGGCTCGGGGGAGGGCCACCACACTGGGGCTGGTGCCCCTGGTCCCGTGGAGGCACTCGGGGTGGGGTCTTCCTGGACCCAGTGGTCGCCCACGTAGCATCCCAGCTTCTGGTGTCCTCCTCCAGCCAGGCCGGTGCCAGGCCCCCTTGGTGCCCTTCCACTGACCCCTCTGTCCCCGCTTGCCCTCTTCCCTTCACGCCTAGCACACTCTCGTCACCCCAGGGAGCTCCGTGCTGCCCAACCCACTGCCAGACGGTCCAGCCTCTGGCCTCCTCTGACTTGACCCTCAGCAGCGTGTGTGGAGCCGGCCCCCCTCCTCCGCCATCGCTCCCTCCTGGGCTCCAGGACGCCGCTCTCCTGGTTCCCTCTGGCCCGTGGCCCTCCTTCTCAGACCCCCTGCGGGCCCTCCTGACCTCGCCGAGCCATCCCCATCCCCATGTCCCATCCTCAGCAGCCTCTCATTTACTTTTTGTCCCTATAATTTTGCCTTTTCTGAAAAGTCATCTCAATGGAGTCCTACAGCTCGTGCCCTCTGAAATGACTTCTTCCACTTAGCCCAGCACGGGGCTTCACCCCAGGGCTGGACCTCCAGCCGCTCGTCTCTTTATTTTACTCTCTTTTATTGCTTCTCCCTTCACAGGGGCACCAATTGTCCTGGTTTCCGTGGGACCCAGGGGTTTCCTGGGACCTGGGACTGTCAATGCTAAAACCAGGATGGGTCGTGAGCTGAAGGACATTTGGGCTGTTTCTGGTTTTTGGTGATTTTGAGTATATGTTCACTATACGCAATGACATGGAGGGTTATTGTGGACATAAATGGTCGTTTCTCTTGGGAAAATACCCCGGAGTGGACCGCTGGGCTTTCTGACGGGCGCATCTCAAGGTATAAGAAACAGTGAGTTGTTTCTTGTATGTTTCTCACTGTATAAGAAACTGTTGGGGCCGGCCCGGGGGCGCAGTGGTTAAGTGCTCACGTTCCGCTTTGGTGGCCCAGGGTTCGTTGGTTTGAATCCTGGATGCGGACATGGTACCACTTGGCAAGCCATGCTGTGGAAGGCATCCCACATAGAAAGTAGAGGAAGATGGGCACGGATGTTAGCTCAGGGCCAGTCTTCCTCAGCAAAAAGAGGAGGATTTGCAGCAGTTAGCTCAGGGCTAATCTTCTTAAAAAAAAAAAAAAAAGGAAACTGTCAAACTGTCTTCTGGATGCTGTACCATTCAGCGTCCGACAGCACCGTGTGACAATTCCAGTTGCTCCCATCTTCACTGGAACTTGGTAGTGAGTGTTAAAAAAATTAAAACCATTTCTTAGCCATCCTATTAGGTGAGTATGGTGTCTCCTTGTTGTTGGGCTGGGATTTCTTTTATCCGTTGTGTGGTGTTGTGTCCCCGGTGCCTGGACAGTGCCTGCTACGTGGTACATGCTCAGTGATTTTTTTTTATTGATGAGGAGTGAATGAATGGATGGACGGATGGTTGGATGGCTGGATGAAGTGGAAGGAATTTCAGCCGTTACCTAAATTGGTTCTGGCAAATGCACAGCACATGTACCGCCAGCTGCCCCAGCCCCATTTTGTTTCCACGGCAGACATCACTAATCGATTGCGCCATTTCATCGAGCTGCCTCATTCCAGGCAGTACTTCCCAATAATTTGAGCAGCAAGTGAGATGAGCCCCATGAGCTAATGCAGCCCGGGGTCCAGTCTCCTGTTAGCTGAAGAGGACATCTGGGCCCAGAGCGGCCGCCAAGGCTGCCCGAGGACTCACAGCGAGCCCCGGGCAGGGCTGGACTCCAGGCTGGGCTCTTCCTGGTGAAATGCGAGACTTCTCCAGCAAGGAGGGGGCAGGACGGGAAGCAGGGACATGGAGCTGGGCTCGAGGCTGGGGTGGCATGCCATCTGGGGTGCTCCCTGGGCACCGGCGGGGGTGGGAACACTGATGCCTGGGGTCTTCCTACAGGTGCCCAGATGCCGCTGGGACGGCCTGCCCGCCCACGTTGGCTCCCTGGCCCAGCGGGCGTACTGGGCGCTACTGAACGAGCGGAAGGACCAGAGCATCGTGGCCCTGGGCCGGAGCGGCGCCGGGAAGACCACCTGCTGCGAGCAGGTCCTGGAGCACCTGGTGGGGATGGCAGGCAGTGTGGATGGCACGGTCTCAGGTATGGTGGTCTCCAGGTGCCATGCATTGGGGGTGGGAAGGACGGGGGGAGGGAGGATTGGAGTGGGCGCTGGGCTGCCCCTCCCTATGTCCACTCAGCTGGCAGTCACTGAGCATATGTGCTGACTGTGCTTGCCACTGGGCCACCCCTAGTCCATGGGACACCTTTGTGCGAATTAGAAAGAGGTCCTCCTTCTTCAAGACATTCACAGCCATCTGTGGGGCAATCCTCCACTGACATTGTTAGAACCGAACACTGGACGGCCACGTGCTGGGGAATCATCCTAATCAGCATACAAATCTACAATAGTATGATGAAATGAAGTGCCCCTTGGACACGGTGTCCTTGTGCAGTGCACAACCTGCTGAACTGTACAGAGGACCCAACAAGTCAAGTCAGGAGGGCAGGGCCTGTGCTCGGGAGGAGCTGACAGCCAGAAGGGAAACTGAACCACCCGTATCTGCCAAACTCGAGTGCTCTGCACAAAGTGCTGGTTAGGGGAGAGGCAGAGGGAGCATGGGGGGGAGCAGGGGAGGTGATGTTTGTCCTGGGCCTTAGAGAAAGAGTGCCAACTAATAATAATAATTAGAATTTTAATAACAATCCTAGTAAACACTTGCTGAGGGCTTCTGTGCCAGAGCCTATTCCAAACATCTTAATTTATTTATTACTTACAACAGCTGTATAAGGTAGATATTATTATTATTCACATTTTATAGATGAGGACATTAAGACTCAGAGAGGGTAACCAGCTTGCCTCAGGCCACACAGCTAATCTATCCTTGAGCTGAGATTCAAACTCAGGCAGTCCGGCTCCAGAGCGGTGACCCCCGGGCCAGCGTTCTCAATGCTTTTTCATTGTTGTTCCCCAAACGAGCCTTTTTAGACAGTTTTTTCCCCTAGTCATCCTCCCACGATGAAGTTTTAACGCCATAGCTATGCCACGGTCTGTCGCGCGGTGTATGTACATTGTGCCCTCTACATAAGGAGGGAAAATTCCCCCACCCCAAGGACCTGCTTCTGCCCTCGGCGAGGCAGTTTTCCAAAAGACTATCGTGCTTTTCTCATCATAATAAATATAATGCGAGCACCACCACACCTGGAGCACGTCCTAAGAACTTTATTCAATCATCCAGTTCTCATGACAACCACATGAAAGAGGCACTATTATCATCCCTGTTGTACAGATGGGGTGTCTGAGGCCCAGGGAGCTGCATTAATTTGCCCCCAACTAGGTAACTAGCAAAGAGCAGAGCCCGTATTCATACCCGCTGCACTGCTGTGCTGTGCTGTTCTCCACTGCGTTATCCGATGCTTTATTGATCACTTGCTCTACACCTGGCCCGTGTGAGGGGAGCCGCCAGGGTTAGACAGGGTGGGAGTCAGGTTAGGCTGTATCCAGGTGCCTAGCCCAGTGCCTGGAGCAGAGTAGGTGCTGGATGAATAGTTGTGAGGAGATTGTGGGGCTTTTCAAGCCTGCTGTGATGGGGAGTGCCCGGAGAGTGGGTCTGAGCACGTTAATGCCCTGCCCTCCTCCTGGATTCCCTCAGGCCCAGGAGGCCCCAGGGCAGCCCCTGCCACCCAGATTCTACCAACCCTGGGTCTGCGTGTCTCCATTTCCTGACTCAGTCTTGCTCTGACTGCAGTCCTGCTCGCGGCGCAGGGCCAGGCCAGTGGTGAAATGTGTATGGTTCGGAGCTGAGCTGGGGAGGTGGCAGGGAGCCCGCTGGGGCCTGGGGCCAGGATGTGGTCAGGCCCTGGGGAAGGGCGGTCCTGGGAGGGGTGAGGGTGACGCCCTGCCCCGTGCTCCCCCACAGTGGAGAAGATTCGAGCTGTCTTCACCGTCCTCCGGGCCTTTGGCTCCGTGTCCACCAGCCACAGCCACAGTGCCACCCGCTTCACCATGCTGATGTCGCTGGACTTCAATGCCACAGGCCGGGTCACGGCCGCTCAGCTGCAGGTGAGACCTCTGCGTGGATGGGAGAGGGGGTTTCTCGGGGCTTCAGGGTCCCCAGCCCCACTCAGCAGAGCCCACGCCTCCAGCTGGGGCCCTGGAACGTGTCTATATGGTGATGGCTCCCCAGGCCGTGGTCAGCCCCTCCCCGCCTTGCTCAGGGTCCCCGATGGCTCTCCTGGAGCAGGCCAGCCCCTCTGCGTCCCGGAATGTGGCGGGATGAGCGATTCACGGGGAGACATCGAATTCAGCTGCCCGTTGGCTGGTGCTTAAAGTGCCAGCTGGAATTCCAGGGACCCCCCGACCTTGGTGCAGGCTCACGAGGATCCATGCCGTTTGGTGTGCATCCAGCATCGCCAGGCCCCTGCCATCCCCCTCGGACACACTGTTGGAACAGAAAATAGCGTTAGGTTGTTAGAAGAGTTGTTTGTACGTGGAGCTGGGATGACACCCAGGCTCAAGGAAAGCTCCTGGGTGCCACAGATCCCCGTCTGCCCCAGCCCCGAGACTCCCCATTCCTCTCCATTTGGGTCCAGTTACGAAAGTCTCCCCTTCTCCCCTCTGGATGCGTCGCTGGGAACGGGCTCTGGCGTCATGGAGTCCCTGGATGGACCCTGAATGAGTGAGATAAGGGACACAGCAGTTTTGAGATGAGCGTCCGGAAGAGTTTGGACCTGAGATGTTGCCTCAAAGGGTGGGCTGGGGTGGGGTCCCTCCGGGCCGCGGGGCAGCAGGGCCCCAGGCACGGGGCGGAGGTCTCCAGAGTGCCGACCGGGGGCCGTCCTCTCCCCTCGCAGACGATGCTTCTGGAGAAGAGCCGTGTGGCACGGCAGCCGGAGGGCGAAGGCAATTTCGAAGTTTTCTCCCAGATGTTGGCAGGACTGGACTTGGATCTCAGGTGAGCGGCTGGGCCGGGCAGGGACAGCCGAGGGCCGTGGGACACAGGGCACCTGCTCTCCCGGGGCCCAGCCTTAGCTCTGCCCGGAGCCGAGAGGCGGTGGAACCCAGTGGTCAGGGACCCAGCCTCTGATTCCAGCTGCCTGGTACTGCTCACAGGCTGGGGGACCTTGGTCGAGTGTCAACCACTCTGAACCTCTGTTTCCTCCTCGGTAAAGTGGAAACAATACCTTGACTGACCTCATAGGATTATGTGAGATAAGTCACATACAGCTCTTCGCAAATCTGGGGGGTGGCGGAGGCTGGGGCTGGGCCGGTGGTGTGTCAAGACAGGGCCTGACAGCAGCATGGGAGGAGGGCAAGGAACAGCAGACCCCAAGTCTTCCAGAAGTTTCTAAACTCTGGAGGAGCCCTGGGTGCACATGAGGGGTTGCCCGCATGGGGCACCTTAGGTCAAGGGGACGCGGGTGGAGCAGCCGGCAGGGCAACCAGACAAGATTCATCTTGGAGGCCCTCCTGGGGGAGGTGGGCCAGCAAGTCCCCAGCTCTGTAGGGCCTCCTTGGGCCTGTGGCTCTCTCTCTCGGAGCCTCGGTTCCCTGGTTTGTCGAATGAATGGGCAACGTTCTAGAGGAGCCCCAGGGAGGGGAAGACGCTGGCTTTTCCCTGGCGAGGGGCGAGAATCCGTGTGTCCCCTCCCCTTGTGTCCCCCATTCTTTGTCTCCTGCCTCCCTCCTCCGTGTGAAGGGCAGGATCCACCTGTCCCGAGCCTCCTGGCTAAGGCCGAGGGACAACTGTATCCCTTGGAGAGAGGGCCGTTAGCGAGGGGACTCCCGGTTTCCAGAGCAGGGTAACTGAGTAGTAGGGAAGCTTCTGGAAGGCCTTCTGAACCTATCGAAGAACTTGGAACAGAAAGGTGTAGTTTCGTGGCTAGGACCACAGACTTTGGGGCCAAGCTGCGTGGATTCGCGTCTGGCTTTTCCACATGTCGGCTGTGTGACCTCGGGCTAGTGATTTCACCTCTCTGAGCCTCCCTTTCCCTGTCTTCAAATGAGTGTGATAAAACCTGCCTCCGAGTGTGGCAGTGAGGGTTCAAGAGTGAGTAGGTGTACGATGCTTACAGCACCAGGACATACCGCATGCTTTGTGTGGGTGTGTTGTTCTGGAGGATTTGATCTGCCCCGGCACCCCCTCAGGTCCTCACCAGGCGTGTGCTGGAAAGAACTGACTTTGGAGTCAAAGGGACATGTGTTTAGATCCAGGCTTTGCCACATGTGGTCCTCTCTGAACCTCAGTTTCCTTTTCTGTAGAAGGGGAACCTACTAGTGCCAACCCTGAGGGCATTTAAGCCAGATCTCATGTCAAGGCAGTGGGACCCCGTGTGGGAGGGCACGCTGTATAGACTCTGCACATGAGAGTCTGAACCCTGTTTTCTGGCTCCCTGGCTTCGGGTGGGGAGCTTTATCTCTCAGGGCTCCATTTCCTCATCTCTCAGAAACCGAAGGGCATGCACATCTCCCCTGAGACCCCCCACAGTGGGGCCATACCTTCTGTACTCCCTGGGGGGCTCCACCCTGGGCCTGGAGCCACTGCCTGCTGGAGAGGGGGAGTTGGGGGTCCCTGTGATGGGCACAGGGAGGATAAGGCTGGGCTGCTGCCAGCAGAGGGTGCCAGGCCTCCATGCCAGGCGGACCCGGGCCAGGGGGCTCTTTGCCGGTGGGCCTGACCGGGCGAGTGTGGCATCTTTGGGAGCCAGGACAAAGCTGTGTCTGAGAGGACGAGGCTGCCCCAGAGGAGTTTCAGGGGCCCCGGGAGAGTGGAGAAAAGTGCTTAGAACAACTCAGACCTCTCGGGGCTTGTGGTCTCTCTGGGGGCTCCCTGGTGGTCTCAGGCCTTCTCCCTTTCTCACCCTCTGCAGCTGCCAGGCTGTTCCCTCAGCCACAGTGAAGCTTCCAAAGGACAAAACTGGTTCCCACTTCCACAGACATCCTTCCTTTCTCCCATGCATTCATGCGGCAAACTCCTATTCATCCTTCAAAACCCTGCTCTGAATCCCTTCTTTCAAGGAGTGCTGCCTGGTTCCTACTCCCTCAGCTTCCCCTTTATACCATTTTGGTGCCTGGGGTGAGCCTCTGGTCTAGCACCTGGCACCCTGGGGCATCCGGGTCTCTCTCCCTCACCTGACAGACTGTGAGATCTCAGAATCAGGGGCCCTGCCTTCCTCCTTTCCGTCTTCCCAGCACATAGCGTAGGGCCTATTAATCATTTGTCAAGTTGAACTTCTGACTAATGGAATATAGACCCTGTCAAGTGCAGGGGGACAGATATCAAGTCCTACTGTGCACCAGGCCTGCAGTGGGAGTTTCTCTGTATCATCTCATTTAATCCTGTGAGGCGAGTGGTAGGAAGCCCTTTAACAGAGGAGCTACAGGGGGACCCAGAGAAGAAAACTGGCTTGTCCGCTCCCTTGTGGGGCTGGGGTTGGACTCAAACCCTGGCCAACAGGGAGCCTTCCAGGCTGTGAGGCTGAGGCTGGGGGGGCGGGGCCTGGAGAGAAGTAGGGGAGAAGGCACAAAGGGACCCAGAACTGGAGAGAGTGGCTGGGAACTGTGGGTGAGCCCCCGCCCCGGGGACCAGCACGAGCCCCGTGGTGGGTGGGGGCCTGGCCTGCCTCCACCTCCCCGTCTGCCTGCATTCCTCAGGCCGGTGGGGCTGGGCAGCCCCTTCGCTGGGCCCACTCTCAAGACACCTTTAGTCTGAGCACTGGAGGGGCTTTCAACATCCTGTCGCCTTGTGGGGGGAGACAGAGGCTGGGAGAAGGGGCGGTGGCAGGACAGCGTGGGACTCTGTGCTCTGGGGGCCAGAGGAGCTCAGCCCGACCCCCGGCCCCGCGTTGCTGGCTGTGTGGGCAGGGTGCTGACTGCCGGTGCCTTTGCTTTGTCGTCTGTAAGATGGGAATGACATTGGCACCTGTCGGGTGGGGCGGTGCTGCCGATCCTGGAACTCGCTCCTCCCAGCTGTTCTAACATCATCCCTGAGCCGGTTCTCCCAGTGGGCTGGCAGGAGACCCCGAGTTAGAACCCGCTTTCAGGATTTGAGCCCCGGACCCTTTCGTCCAGGGTTTCCTGGCGCTTAGGAAGGGCCGAGGGAGGGCGGTGAGCAAGGAGTATTTGGGAGGGGGTGCCAGGGCCTGGGGCACCGCTGGGGCTGCCTGGGGCACGTGAGGGCCCCCTGCCTGCCGGGCCGCCAGTGTGGGGTGTCCTCCTGACCTTGCCCCCATCTCCGCTTCCAGGACGGACCTGTACCTGCACCAGATGGCAGACAGCAGCTCCTTCGGCATGGGCACTTGGCCCAAGGTAAGGCGGGGGTCCTTCTGGGGGGTGTGGGTGTAGCCCAGGGTGGGAGGGTGAAGGAAGGGGCCCGTGCGACTCGTCTGCGTTGCTGCTGGGGTGCATCGCTGGAAAGGCTGTTGGTGTCGGGGAGGCAGGGGCTGGACTCCCCGGGGCGAGGAGACGTGTGCAGAGAAAGGCAACAAGGGGATGGTATCCGTAAAGGGAGGAGCCTGGGCTCTGGGGACAGGCCATCTTGGTTCAAAGCGCAGCTCTGACACTTGTTAGCTGCGTGACCTCGGGCATGGAAGCCAGCCTCTCTGAACGTCTGTTTCCTCTTTGGTGAAATGACGATAGGAGCCATGACTGCCACACGGGCTCGTTGTGGGATGAAAGGAAACAATGTGCATAAAGCACCTAGCACATTCTTGGCCCAAATCCGTCAGTCGGGGACTCTTAGCAAATGTCACTGTGAGTACTGTGGGCGGACGCCTCAGAGCCGGCTTCCTGGAGGCTGTGGCTTGGGAGCAGAGCCTGAGAGGTGGCGTTCAATTGATGAAAAAAGCAACTTGTTCCCTCGCTCGTTCATTCTTTTATTCATTTTTTGATATGTCGACAATTGTTTTCTGAGTCGCCTCCCCCCACTGCCCCCACCAGCACCAGCTGTGCCAGGCCTGTGCTAAGTGCTGGGGTGATGGTCCGTATCCATGAATTTCCCTCTGTCAGGAGAGAAGGGCTTGGGGACTGGTGCAATCATGAGGGATAAGAACATGCCGGAGGCTGCACAGATGCTGTGGGCACCAGGGGGTTGTTGAAAGACCTGCTTGGCCTCAGTCAGGGAAGGCTTCTTGGCCAAGGAGACAATCAGTCTGGGTTTTGTAGGATGAGTAGGAGTTCGCCAGGTGGAGAAGGGTGGATAATTTCTACTCCAAAGCCTTTTTCAAACATATATGTCTGGGAAACAAATGGTGTTGGGATAATTGGACATCTTCATGCCAAAAAAAATGAATTTCAATCTGTGTCTTCATACCACACACAAAAATTAACAGGAATTGGATCATAGTCCTAAACATAAAACTTAAAACTGTAATATTTCTAGAAGAAAGCGGGAGAAAAAATTCTGTAACCTTGGATTGGGCAAAGATTTCTTAGATGTGACACCAAAAGCACGGTCCAGAATAAAACAAATTGATAAATTGTACTCCCGTGAAGTGAAGAACTTCTGCTCTGTGAAAATCGCTGTTCATGTGAAAATCCAAGGCCCAGACTGGGAGAAAATATTTGCAAATCACATATCTGATGAAGTATTTGAATCCAGAATATATAAACGACTCTCAAAACTCAAGTAGAACAACCCGATGGAAAAAAAATGGGCAAAAGATTTCAGCATACTTCACAAAAAAAAGATACATGGATGGCAAATAAGCGCATGAAAGTACGCTCGACATCATTGGTCGTTACAGACCTTCAAAGGAAAGCCACAATGTGACACCGCTGCAGGGTCACCAGACTGTCTGCATTTAAAAAGACCGATCGTACCAAGTGCTGGCGAGAACTTGGGGTAACTGGAGCTCTCCCACCCTGCAGGTGGGAATGCAAAATAGCACAGCCCTTTTGGAAAACAGTTTCTTAAACCAGTTAAACATCCACCTCCCGTATGACGCACTGTTCTCCTCCTAGGTGCTTATGCAGAAGGATGAGACTGTCACGTCCATACAAAAACTCTTGCAAGAAAGTTCACAGCAGTTTTATTTGCAACAGCCCAAACCTAGAAACTCCCCGAAGGTCTAGTTATGTCTGATAATTAAGCTGGGTGAAAAATCTCAGCTGAAAGAGAGTGCAACTCTGTGATTCCATGTATGTGAAACTCTAGACAGTGCAAGCTGATCTGCAGGGTCAGAAACAGGTCAGATGCCAGCCTGGTGGCCTAGTGGTTAAGTTCGGCATGCTCTGCTTTGGTGGCTTTGGTTGGGTTTCCTGGGTGCAGACCTATGCCACTCATTAGCCATGCTGTGGTGGTGACCCACATACAAAATAGAGGAAGATTGGTGCAGATGTTAGCTCAGGATGAATCTTCCTTAGCAAAAAAAAAAAAAGAAAAGAAAAGAAGAGAAAACAGGTCAATCGTTGCCTGGGGATTGGGTGAGGGCAAGACGAGGGGAGAAAAAATTATAAAAGGGAGCCTTTGGGGGTGACGGACATGTTCATTGTCTTTACTGTGGAGATGGTTTCACGAGTGTAAATGTCCAAGTTTATCAAATTCTATGTTTATAAAGACGGGTGGGTTCTCCTTTGTCAATTACACATCAATAAAGCGGTTACACACACGCTGGGTGCCGTCCACAGAGTTACTGAATCAGCGGGTCTGGGGTGGGGCCTGAGAATCTGCATTTCTCACGAGTCCCCAGGGCTGCTGATGCTGCTGGTTCTGGGACCTGACTCTGAGAACCCCTGGAGCGCAGCCCTTTTCCGTGGAGGGTGGGGTGGGATGGAGCGGGTGATGTGGCTCCTCTGTCTTTAGATTCCGGGGGCTGATCCGCGGTCCCCTTGCTGGTCCCCCTTCAATGGGGCGTCTGCGGGGTGTTCATCCTTCATGCCCCCATGACTAGGGTCCGTTGGGCACCCAGACCTCCATCTTGATGGCGGAGGATGTGGGGCGATCCCTGCGCTGGGTTTTCTCGTTCATTTAATGGGTTTTGGCCAAATGCATCCATTTCATCAGCAAGAAGGTGGTTGTTTGTTTTCCTGTTGTTTTCGAGGAGGAAAAGGGCGGGAGCCGGGCCTGTGACCCGTTTGTTCAGTCTTACGCAGGACGGTCGCTGCGGGAATCCGCGTCCAGGAGGCGTTTGAAGTGGTTTGTTTTTTCCCTGTGTTTCCGGGGGTGTTTTTGAGAACACTGGATGTGTGGGAACTGGTCGGATGGCCCTTTGTTCTCTCTGCTCCTTGGCAGGTACGCAGAGAGTGTTTTCTCTGTTCTTTGAGATCAAAAATAAAGTCTGAGGACTCGTTGGTCTTTGAGACGAGCCTGGGCTAGTTCTCTGGAGGGGGCGGTCCGGGGACCATCTCACAAGGGAGGTTGAGGTCAGAAAATGCCTCCTGAGAATGGGAGTTGCTAAGTAGACACCCCCAAAGGGGTCAGATTTAGCAGATAAAAATACAGGATGCCCAGAACTGATTCGTCCTGTAATGGATCGAACTACGGTGACCACAGCTGATGCTGCTGGACAGATCGTGTCTTTGAAAGGTGACGAGAGCCTGGATCCTGTGTTCCTACCACACACACACGGTGACCAGGTGAGGTGACGGATGTGTAACAAACTTGATTGTGGCGATCACAGCACAGGGTACGCGTATATCAAATCGTTACCTTGTACACCTAAAAATTCACAAATTTTATTTGTCCATTATAACTCAATAAAGCTGGAAAAAATACAGGATGCTGGTTAAATTTGAATTTCAGATAAACATCTAATAGTTTTTTAATATAAGCGTATGGCAAACAATGCACGGGCAGGCCTGGAGGGCTGGAGTCGTATCAGAGAAGGCTGCCTGGAGGAGGAGGCACAAGCTGGTCCTGGACTTAGAATGAAGTTAGACGAGTGTAGTGAGGTCAGTTTTCCGGCGACACCAAATATGGCAGGGAGATATGCTAAAAAAAAGGATCTGTTGTTGATCTGAAATTCAAATTGGACTCGATGTCCTTCCTCGTATCTGGCGATTCTACTGCACCGTATTCTCCCCCGCTGAGCCCTCTTTCCCCGCCTGCTGGCCGTTCCCCTGACTGGTCACTTCTGCTTCTGTTTCATCTGTCGCAGTCGGTTCCATCGTCCCCTGAAAATTCACCGAGGATGGTGGTTGGGAAGCGGTCTGTGGAGTCTGACATACGCGGGTTCCAATTCCACCGCCAGCACTTAGCTCAGTGGCCTCAGACCCCCGGGCCTCAGTTTCCTCATGTGTAAAATCGGGATGGTCATTGTCCGCCCTGCTCCCGAGTGACGTGAGATGAAGCCCGTGACGCCCCTGGACAGTGCCTGGATCCACCCCATGCCGGCTTTATTATTATCATCGCTGTTGTTATTACTGGGATTATTCAGTTTGAGCCCAGACGGCAGCGTTGGACCAGCCGGGCGGGGCCAGGCCTCAGTGGCCCCCGGGGTCCCCGATCCACGTTCCTCGCGGCACATGCCATGTTTTTCTCTTTCTGGCTTTATCTCAATTCTACTCGAGTTTATATTTTTAAGGAAACATTTATTTAAAAAATTAAATTAGTCCATACGTCCGTGGGAAAATCAGAAAAAAAGCAAAGATACAAAAAACCCCAAAACGCACACATTCCAAACCAAAAAACAGGCTCCACGGACGGCACCCTCCAGAGACCTCCATTGGTCCCGTGTCCACGGATCTCCTCTCAGTAATTTTCATTTGAAGATTTTACATGGAACACAAACTGTAGAGGGGCCTTCCTGTGGTCCTTGATGGTGAGGTGATAAATATCTTTGTGCATCTTCTCAGGCCTGAGCCCCTCCCCCTGCCCACCCCTCTGTCCACGGAGAGGCCACCCGTGTGGTGTATGTCGCCACTTCCTTGGTGACGGTCATCATGTGTCACACTGTTAACTTATGGCCAGTCTCCCCTCGGCCCTAAGTTCCGAGAAGATGAGGGGTCTTCTGTGTCCTGTCCACTGCTTAACGTACAAGGCCTTGCACTGAGCCAGGCATGCGAGTGCTCAGTAAATGTTTGTTGAGTGAATAAGTGATTGAGCATGTTCCCCACCACAACTTGGCAAAAATCACATCTTTTCAGCTTTCTAAACTGTGCTGCTGTGGTAGGCAGAGCTGTGTTAATGATGTTCTAATTTATCCCTCTGTGCCTGTGAGGCGTGTCCCCAGGGCTTTGGGGATCGTGGTGTCTGTCTTTGGACCCGCCACCTGCATCCTGGGAGCTGGGGCCATTGCTGGCAGTCACAGACGACCTGGAGAAGGGGATTAGACATTTGGGGGCTCTCATCCCTCAGCCAGCCTGGGCCT